TTTTGTACTGAAATTAGGCCACCACATGTTCATGAGGGGGTCTTTTTTTTTTTTTTTTTGCATTTCTTCTGAGAGCCTTGAAATATGAACACTCTTCTTTTTCTAATACGAAACAGTTAATTTTATTTGTTCTTGACTTCTTCCCCTCTATTTTTTAATTTTCTTTTTCTGGAATTCCTATGAGGCAGATGTATCTAAACTCTAAGATTTTACACTTTTGTTTGTGTTTCAGCCTCTTTGGCAGTAGGAGTTTTTCTGGGCTCCATTGCCCTGCTTTCATAATTCTTCTGGTTGTACATCTCTGGAGCCCGCTGATTGAGTTTTCTATTTTTACCCTAAATCGATTGATGTTTCTCTTTGCTAACAAAAGCCATGTAGACATGGAATGGAAAAATCAAACCCTCACTCCCAGTGATGACCAAAAGTTTAAAAAAATGGCACAGAGTACCTGAAGAAGAAAAGGAAAAATATAATCTGTAATGTCAATCAGAATCCAAACAGTTCTTCATGGGTAGGGGAACTTCACAAAATGACTTTAAAGTTCTTAAGGAAAAATACATACAAGAGACAGGTATTGATGAACGAAGTATAACAGAATAGAGTTCAGATAAAGGTCCACACAGAAATAGGAATTTAATACAACACAAAATCAGCATATCAATTCAAGAAGAAATGGGTGAATTGGTAAATAAATGGCACTGATACGACTAACAGTCCATCTGGAGGCCAAATGTTACAACTTCTCCCATATCCTATGTAGACAAATAAATTCCAAATAGATTGAAAAGCTGAATGAAAAATATTAAATAAAAAATGAATGCATAAATGAATAAATAAATATTGTTAAAATAAAATTTAGGAAAATATTTGTATGAAGTTGGGGTCAAGAAGACCTTAAGCAATACAGGATGCTTAGAAGCTATACAGAAAATGATTGACACCTGTGATTATAGTATAGGCTGGTGCAAAAGTAATTGTGGTTTTTGCATTGTTGAAATTTGCTGTTTGATACTGGAATACATTCTTAAATGAATGTGGTTATGTTACACATATTTTTAATACACATTTCTTGCTTTATAGTTTTTAGCTAATGACTTATTACTTACTATTTATTTTATATTTAGTTTGGACTATGGAAATGTTAGACAAAAAACAAATTCAAGCGATTTTCTAATGCAATTTCAAAATGGGTTGGAAAGCAATGGAAATAACTCACAACATTAACAATGCACTTGGCCCAGGAATGGCTAATGAACCACTGGTGCAGCGGTGGTTGAAGAAGTTTTGCAAAGGAAACAAGAGCCTTAAAGATGGGGATTATGGTTGCCAGTCATTGGAAATTGACAATGACCAATTGAAAGCAATCATTTAAGCTGATCCTCTAGCAACTACATGAGAAATTGCTGAAGAACTCAGTGTTGACCATTCTATGGTCATTTGGTATTTGAAGCCATTTGGAAAGGTGAAAAGCTCAATAAGTGTGTGCCTCATGGGCTGACTGAAAATCAGAACAATTGTAATTCTCAAGTGTCATATTCTCTTATTCTGTGCAACAACAACAAACCATTTCTCTATCAGATTGTGACATGCAATGAAATGTGTATTTCATTCATCAACCAGTGATGACCAGCTAAGCAGCTGGACCAAGAGAAACCTCCAAGCACTTCCCAAGACAAACTTGCACCCCCAAAAGATCACAGTCACTGTTTGGTGGTCTGCTGCCAGTCTGATCCAGTATAGCTTTCTGAATCCTGGGGAAACTATTACATCTGAGAAGTCTGCTCAGCAAATCGATGACATGCAAGGAGGACTGCAATGCCTGCAGCCAGGATTGGCAACAGAAAGGGCCCAGTTCTCTATGACAATGCCTGACTGCATGTTTGCACAACCAACACTTCAGATGTTGAATAAATTGAGCTATGAACTTTTGCCTCATCCACCATATTCACTTGATCTCTCACCAACCAACTACCACTTCTTCGAGCATCTCTACAATTTTTCTCAGAGAAAACGCTTCTGAAACCAGGAAGATGCAGAAAATGCTTTCAACAAGTTTGTCAAATCCTAAAGCACAGATTTTTATGCTACAAAGGGACCTATTTCTCATTGGCAATGATGTGTTTATTGTAATGGTTCCTATTTTGTTTAATAAAGATGTGTTTGAGCCCAGTTATAATAATTTAAAATTCATAGCCCCAAACCACAATGATTTTTGCACCAACCTAAATAATTATTACAGTAATAATTTTTGATAGGTAAAATGTAGAAACTATGAAAAGAAAAATGATTGAATAAGAGGTTAATATACCACTAATCTGTAAGAAAAAGAGAAAGAATGTGATATAAAACTGGGCAATAATTAGCAGGAAAAGAAATGCAAATGATCAATAAACAAGTGACAAAAATAATCTTATTCGAGATGAAAGAAATCCAAATTAAAACAAAATGAGTTACTTTTGTCCATCATTGACAAAGATCCAAAAGACTAATGGCTGTTCAGTGTCGTGAAGGACAGAGACCAACATGCTTGCTTATATACTAGTGGTAGAAGGACAGATTGCTACACCCTCTTGGAGGGTGATTCAACACTGGGAATTTGGTGGTGGTGTTCACATACTTGGCAAATGTAGGGTTGATGGTAAGGATCAATCTGGGAAGGTAGGCCTGGCCTACACATCACTCTGTGAGGGAAGTGGCAGTATTATTTACATAATTCTGTGACTGCAGTGGTGTTAACCACGTAACTGTGTTATACACAGTGGTGTTCACATTGGCCTGTGGCATGGATTGCCATCTTAACACAACCCCATGACAGAGGAGCAGGACACAATCCCCAAACTTTGTGATGTTGGTTATAATCATATTTACGTAACTCTGCAATGTTGGTTGTTATTCCTATGATAGTGGACATTTACATAGTTCTTTTTTCTTTGCTTATGATAGGTTAACTAGAGTAAGTTTTATTTGATTATAAGATTGAACTGTTCCTATATGGTTGACCTCATAATTTGTTACTCCAGAATGGTGTAATTTTTTTCCAATTATTATTATTTTTTTAAAATTTCAGATTAGTGTAAGAGTACATATGATTAGGTTACACTGTTTGCATTTGTTAGGTAAAGTCCAAGTTATAGTTGAGCCCTTTACCCAGAAGGTGTGCCATGTACCCCTATGTTGTGCCTGTTAGGTGGGAGCACACTAAGTCCCTTTGCCCCCTACCTTTTCCCTTTTCTCCTCCCCCCCCCGCTTTCTTGAATTTAATTGTATTTTTCTTTCATGTGGGCATGTATTTGTTCATCTACTAGTTTCATATTAGAATTGAGACCCTTAAATACTTGCTTTTCCATTCTATGATACTTAGGAGGATGGTCTTCAGATCCATCCAGGTAAATACAAAAATGTAAAGTCTCCATCTTTCTTTATGGCTGAATAGTGTTTCATGGTACACACATACCATCGTTTATTCATCTACTCATGAGTTAATTGGCACTTAGATGCCTTCCACATTTCAGTGATTGTCAATTAAACTACAATAAACATTCTAGTGCAAATGTCCTTGTGGTAAAATGTTTTTTTTTTTTCCTTTTGGGCAGATGCCACTTAATGGTATTGTGGGATCAAATAGAAGGTCCACTTTTAGCTCTTTGAAGATTCTCCATACTTCATTCCAGAAAGGCTGTGTTAGTTTGCATTCCCACCACCAGTGTATAAGTATTCCCTTCTCTCCGCACCCTTGCCAGCACCTGTAGCTTTTCATGGATTTGCATGCTTGAGCCACATTTGTGGCATTATTCAATATATCTTGTGATAATGATGATGGTATTATTCATAGAACTTTAGAACTTGGTCATGGTATTTACATGACTCTGTGATGATAGTGACATTCGTGGTTACTGGTCATGGTATTTACATGACTCTGTGATGATAGTGACATAGCATATCACTGGTGGTATTCATGTAAATCTGTGTCTTTGGTCAGGATATTCACATAACTTTGTAATGCTGGTGGTTGTGATATTCACAAAACCTTGCACCAATGATGGCAGAAGCACTGGCATAATTGTGGTGCCAGTCATGGTATTGGTATACGACTTATGACTACTATGTTGTTGTTGGTGAAATTCAAATAACTTCACTGGGGGTGGTATTCTCTTAACACTGGCACAGTAGTTGAGATATTCGAGTAACTCCATAATAATAGTTGTGGCAGTCATATAACTCTATGATGCTATTAAATGTGGCAAGAATTCTTTAAAGTTGGTTGTACCCTTCACATATCTCAGTGACAATAGTAGTGGTATTTGTATGGTGGTGGTTGTGGTATCCACAAAATTCTATGCTATTGGTAGTAGTACTCACCTAACCTGCAATGGTGGTGGCAGTGTGCCCACACATCTCTGAGGTTATAAGCTGTTGATAGCAGTGACATAACTTTCTAATAGTGGTGGTGATATATTCATATAACTCTGCAATGTTGCTGGTGGTAGTGTTTTTTTTATAACTGTGCAATGTTGAATATAGTTGTATTTGTAAAAATTGTTGACAGTGGTGGTGATATTCATGTAACCCAGCAATATGGTCACGGTTTTCACCTAACTCTGCAGTAGTTGATGTGGTTATTTGCATAACGATTTATTGTTAATCATGTTATTCATATAAATACAGTCATCCCTTGATATCCTTGGAGGCCGAGTACCAAAACCCTCAAGAATACTAAAATTCATAATGATCAAGTCCTTGATAGCAAATGGCATAGCATTTGCATGTAACCTACCCATATCCTCCTGTATACTTTAAATCATTTCTAGATTACTTATAATACCTAATATAATGTAGATGTTATATAAATAGCTTCTATGCTGTATTTTAAAAATGTGTATTTTTTTATTGTAATACTGTTCTCCCCAGAATATTTTCCATCCACAGTTGATTCTTTAATGAAGAATTGTCTCTTCATCTCAGTTCTCAGGGCTAATGATCCTCATTTTTTCCCCTTGCAGTACTTGGGGTGCATTGAAGTTCTACGCTCCATGCGGTCTCTTGACTTCAGTACAAGAACACAAATCACCAGGTAAGTCCTCTTGAAAATGAACCCCTGTGATTTTACTTCAAAAATGAAAGATCTCTGAGGTTAACGGTTTAGAAATTTCCAGAAGGAAAGATGCCCCTTGGAGTGTTGATTGGTGCCTGGTGACATTTGCTTCTTTGTCCATGTTTGGGCCAGGCTTCTCTCAACAAGAGCACCTTGAAGGGCACCCTGTCCTTCCACACTCTTTATAATTTAGCTGCAGACATATGGAGCACTCTGCGTTTTTATATTTGTTTTTTTAATGTGTAAAACTCTGATGCAATATTGGTATTTTAAAATTTACTGAACCATGTTCTTTTCTAAAAAAAGAAAATCAAGATGTCAAGAGAGAATTTTTAAAACTATATACAGAGAATAAAATGTGTAGAATTGGAAATAGAAATATCCACAAGGGGTAGTCATTTAGTAAACAGACAAATTCTTTAAGGTGTACGTGACTTTGAATGCGTTGTATGTATTTTCCATTACCAACTTAGGTCTAAACTTCCTGAGGGCTAGTATTTAAGCATTGTTTTTTAATAAAATATTATAGTAGTAATGTAGTTCCTAGTAGAGAGTATACCTTTAGAAAAATGCCAGATCTTGAAGAGGAGAACTGGATTGCTCGAACAGTCCATGAAATCACTACATTTCTGTGGAGAAGGAGCTTGGGTTGTCCCACCACTCATGAAATTGCTTTATCTAAATAGTGACCTCAGAAATGCATCGTACTTACTTTGTTCACATCACTCTATGGTATATTTGATTTAGCAAACCAAAGTCAACAGGCTGAGCTTTAGAAAGCAAATGTTTGTAGCAATTAGCTGCTAAATTGGAGCGTGCATACTCAAGTCTGTTGTAAGTACTGTCATAATACCTCCCCTTCCTCATTGAAGACATTTATGCTCAAAAGAGTTTTTTTTTTTTTCCAAAATGACTTGAGGATGGGAACATACCGATATCAGTAATCTACACTAACGAAGGAATCCACTGCCACAGATTTGTAGAAAATGGTTCATGAAAATCTCAATGTCGAAGGAGTGGTATTTTGAATTGAGAACGGTCACCTTACCTGTGAAAAAGCAGGGAATCCTCTCCACAGAGCACTTTGCCAGTGAAAATTATGAGGACTGTGTGACTTTCCTTCTTGTCCTGTATGGTGGTTGTTTGTATAGGAATAAACAGGCAAATTGGAAAGAACTATCAACCATTTTGTCTGAATCCGTTTTATAGCTAGGAATTCTGAGGTGATCTCATGCCATTTTAATTCTCCTATAGATTAACTCAATATCTATGGCTGCCTGTGCACCTAGCGTGCCCGGCCAATGTGGGCTGTTTTGCTGTGCCAGGCTCCCAGTGCTGGGAAGAAAGATATACCTGCAAATATACCTGCGAAATATTTGAGGGTCCCAGAACAGGTCCTGCTCCTCAGGGGTGGTGGTGGAGTAAGGTGAGGGAACAAGTGGATAATTTCACTTATATCCTTGATGAGGATACAAGTTGGGACACTGGGATAGACCTCAACTGGACAGAAGTAATAATAACATTAAAGAAGAAAGTAGTTAGAGCAGACATTGGTCTGTTTGGAGGTTTCAGTGTCTTTCTCCAATCCCATTCCATATAGCTCTCTCTCTTCTAGAAACAGTGTCTTACTCTGTTGCCCTGAGTAGAGTGCTCTGGCATTAGCCTAGCTCAAAGCAACCTCAAACTCCTGGGCTCAAGCAATCCTCCTGCCTCAGCCTCCCTAGGCACCTGCCATAATGCCTGCTAATTGTTCTATTTTTAGTAGAGATGGGGGTCTGACCCTTGCTCAGGCTGTTCTTGAACTCCTGACCTCAAGGGATCCTCCTGCCTCAACCTCTCAGAGTACTGAGATTATAGCTGTGAGCCACCATGCTGGTCCATCAGTATAGATTTGTCTAAAGGTGAAGTAGCATAATGTGGCAAATGGAGCCCTTCACAGTGGGGACCCAGGTGAGTCAGAGGCTTCTATGTTGATCTGAGTTGGGTCACTGGGTTTCTGCACTGCCTGCTGTGGCTACAATACCATTCTTGGATTTAGGAAACTTGGTGCTGAATTCTAGTTGTACCAGAATTGCCTTAGATTTTACTACCCTCTTTGAGACCTATATTTACTTATCTCCAGGATGCTTTCTGTGTTGTGTCATCTTTGTCACATGGCATGTTTCTTACTTTAGTTAATAGCTAAAGACCGGTTGATAAATTAGAAGGGAAGCCCTTTGCATCCACGAGACGACACAGTGTTGTCTTGTGGATGTGGCACACTGTGGTAATTGGAGCATTAAACATATCTGGGACTCAATTCTACCACCATACTTTCTTTGTATACTACAGGCATTCTTGGGAGAGTGTAGAGAAATCTGTTCAAATTAAGTAATATTATTTAGGTACTGGGATCACTGTTTTCCAAAGGCCTTTTATAAAAATATATTTTTATGTGCAGGTAATTAATCCCTACATATTTTTGCAATTTAAAATTTTGGATATGATTTTAAAATTATATTTGGACATAATTTGGAGATTCTGACAGCCGTACCGTGTGCCTTTGTATCAGGGTTGGTTTGATTTCATGCTCTTCCTGACATCTGAGTCTAAATTTATTGCAACATTTTTAAAAACATGAGGCAGGGATTACTGATGTCTTACTAAAAGATAATTTTGAAAGTCCTCAGTGAAGTCACCACCGGTTACGTAATTTGTGCTCTGGTAGCTGTTAAAAGCCTTACATCCTTAAACCTTGGGCTGAGGTGCTGGTGACTCATTCACTCACACTGGCATCCGCTATTCCACAGAGTCGGCCCGGCTGGAGAGCCCAGCTCTGTTGATTTCCAGCAGCAGCTCAGCTCCCTGACTTGCACACTGGGAAGAAAGGTTGAGGGATAACATCTACCTCAACAAGACTGGGATTAGAAATAGAATAGTCTCTAAGAGTCCTACACCCACAGGACGGGGCCTGGAAAAGAGGGAGTGCTGTGGGTTGTTTGCTCAGCCCCACTGCTGACCTGTGTTCAGCATGGCGGATATAATGCCTCAGTGGGCATCTAGGAGCATGACAGCAATTGAGGTAACATGGATGGTGGCCCCCACAGCACTGCCACTTTCCTGGGCCAGTTTGCTGATGGGTAGCACAGAGGAGCCCAGAGGCCCAATCTCGGTGAAAGCCTGTCCAGACAACAGGGATGCCCTTCAGAAGAATGGTTTCTACAGAGAATAGTCATTTACTATTTACATGTGCCCTTGGCCACCAGGCCCAGCAAAGCTTTACAGAGGATGACCCCCTGAGCGCACGTCTGCTGAGAGTATTCCCTGTCAAATATGATTTGATGATGAGCGTTGCAGTATTAAAGGCTACACAGAACCCCCCTGTAGAGAACAGTGAAACTTGGCTGTCTTAGTGTTTCTCACACTGGAGCAACTACCTCCCTCCCCCCACACCTGTGACAACCACCACATGCATGATTTGACCCTGCTGTGCAACCTCCAAGGTCTTGAGGGAGGGATCTTGGGTTGGTGTCACCCTGGGGTAAGTGGGGGCTTGACTCAGGGGCAATCAAGGCTCCCAAGCTGGAGGTCAGTCAGAGCTTTCTACATTGATCTGAGTTGGGCCATAGGGTTTCCAGGCTGGTTGCTGTGGCTACAGATGCTGGAACCTCCACTGTCCTGGGCTTCAGCCTGACTGCCAGAGAGCTGCTTATGTGGGGTCTGTGCACCTCCCTGAGAATTCCTCTCATGCAAGCTTCTCATTTATAATCGAGGGATAGTAGAACTGTGTTGCTGTGTTCCCCATGTGAGTGGGGCAGTCTGTTACCTGGTGGGGACTCTGGGTCAGAGTATCTGCAGTGATCATGGAGTACTGGGCCCCAGGCCTACTGAGCTCCCTGAGGGCTGTGGGTCTTTGCTCACAGAGCCCTTTCGGCCAACTGGAGAAGGATAGGAAGCCTGTGTCATGTAGGTCCCTAGGCCTAGCATGGCTTTGCCTTCTTTCCCCATTACTTTGACTTCCTCACCTACTTATTTTATTTGTTTGGGTTGGTTTAGTCTTATGCTGGTGAATGCATGCTGCATTTGCCTATCATAGAAAGTCACCCTAAGCCACTTAGAAGAGGGAAGGCCATAAACATGTGCATAGTTGAGCTCAGACCACTCAGCTGGGTGGTCTTTCTCCAGCAGTAAATGTAAACCTCTAACCCAGATGACTTCCTGCACTGCTTGGATGTGTCAGGTAACTGTTGAGTTTACTTTCTACCCAGGGTCGCATGGACATATGCACCCGACTGTGTGCAGCTCTGCTGCACCTCCAGGGACCTGCAAGTAGATTTAGAATACATTGTTCAGGGCTCACATCTGCTTTTTCAAATTGTGGAGCGTGCACAATGGAATCCGTTTTAAGTTTGTTGTTTTCTTCATTTAAAAAGCCATTGTCGTCGTTTCATTGGGCCTGGAGACCCTAGTTCAACCCAGAAACACACATTGGGCCAGTAGCACAGCCCTATAACCGGTTCCGCTCTTCACATGTCACTTTGTACACACAAACGTGAGGACCATGCTTCAGCACTGGGGAGTCTTGAAAATTCTCCAGGAATGAGTACAAAATCTTCTCAGTTTGAAAATCAAAATCAAAACCTGTGGAAGGAAAATGTCTTTCTTTTAGGAAAGGCACGAAGACATTTCTTACTGATGTCAGCGTGTGCCCAGGTTGTGAGCGTGGACAGCCGGCCATGGCCTGCTCGCGCACCAGAGCAAAGAGGCGCAGGTGAAATGGAGCTGCCCGCGAGTGGACAGAACGCTGTGAAACGGGCGTCTTTTCTGTTGGACATTTCCTGGGAGGGACTTTGGTTAGAAGGTAGATGAGTGACTGAGTAATCAATCGTAGTGTCAAAGCGCTAAGCATTCGGTAGTCACAGGGCCTCCGGTTCACACGGAAGAGCAGGCAAGCCCTGGTGTGCGCAGGAGGGAGCAGGGCGGGAACTGTGTGAATCGCG